CTTGAGACTAATATTGTATATTGGTTTTAGTTGTAAATATAAAAACTTGACCTAGTCTAACTTGTAAATCTCTAATAAAAAACAATTCTCCCTTTAAAGTATATTGAAATGGAAGTGATACATCAACTTTATCAAGAGTTTGAAGTTGCAGGGGCATTTCAAAACCTCTAATACACTTTATTTTTATATAAAGTATGTCTTTTGAAGGCATATAAGATATCAAATTTTTATTAACAGCAGCAATATTATTTTGAATAATCTAAGCAGATGAGTTATATATTTTTCTTGCTTGTTATTTTATATATTCGACTATTATAGCTACTTCACTATTACTTGCTTGAGAGGAGTGTCAGTGCTTAGCAGTTTTTTTAAGAAAATGTGAACTATTTGAAAAAATAGTTACTACACAGCCTGTACAGTTTTCAGATTTTTTTTTTTTACAACTCTAGTAATAAGTATTTGCCACAGAGTATTCTTTTACTAACAAGTAACCATAAATATTAAATTTTACTTTTTTTTTTTGAGAGACAATAGTTTCACAAATTTTATTTATCTCATTCATATTGACAAGTTCAAGAGTAAGAAGTTTCTAAAAAAAATTTTCTTATATTTTTAATGAAATATTACAACTCTGCTAACTAAAACAAATCAAGTATGACAAGAAATTTTTATTTGGTTTTAGAGATAATAGAAAAATCAGATAAAACTTCTCAATTATATAATCAAATAAAAAAAAAAAAAAACTTTCTAATAAAACAACTTTACCAACTTTACAAATACTTATTATTGTTTATCGATTATTATATTAATATAATTAATTCTATAATTCTAAAATTTTTATCATTTGTTTAAAATTATTAGAATATTATTTAAATTATTTATGAAAAATTACTAATATTTATATAGATAACAAAATTATTTATTAAAATTACTTAATAATGCTATATATAAAAATCTTAATAATAAAGAACTCAGTAACTATTAGCTTAGAACAATAGTAGT